ATTCCCAGTTCTCCTCAGTGCAGTAGTCCATATCCCACGCCCAGCCCCCGGCGGCGCTGCACAGCACGCAGAGGGCGCACACCAACAGCGCACGGCCAGCCATCGCCACACTCCTCCCACCGCAGCACACACACACACGCACAGCGTCTAGCGGGGGTATAAATAGAAAGAGTGAGAAAAAGGGACAAACACACACATATATGAGCAGCCCGCGGAATGGGTGCATTCAACCAACACACACAAGCAGAGAAAGAAGTAACAGCCGAGGCACTGCCGTCCAGTTAAGGAATAAAAGCAGCAACGGCAGAAGAAGACGGTTTTGTGTACGTTCCTCCGCATGTGCCTTCACGATAGCCTGCAGCGGCAAACCGCACACCGTAGCGGGGCTCAAGGGACCTTTTTTCCCACCCGCCACACACACACACACATACGCGGTCGAAGTGGACGTGCCGGCGGCCCCCACCCCGCCCCTCCCGCGCCCCGCTTCGCAGCACCCACGTCGTTTGCTCCCCGACCCCGCGAAACTCCCCCACCCCCCGCGGGACTCTCTCCGGACGCCACGCAGCCCCACGCGGCACTCACCCGCAGCCGCCGCGAAAAAAACGTCACCGACGGCAGCCGCCCCCTCCCCCACCGAAGCGCCCGCAGGCGCACCGCCGCTGCGCAGCACGTGCACGGGCGCCGTGCCGGCGACCGCCACTTCCCCCGAGTCCTCCGGCAGCCACGCGCCCCACTCGTGCACCGCCGCACCCGCCGCAGCCGCAGGGCCCACGCATCACGCGGGACGCCATGCGAAGTGACGCTGCCTCCCGCAGGCGTCGTGCGGCTTTTTTTGTTTTGTTTTGGCGCAGCGCGACTGTCTGCGCCTCCGTAGCGGCGACGGACGAACCCCTCGCGGCCGCACTCCCTTCACATACGCAGAGAAGTGTGGGGGAGAAGCGCAAAAGAGAGAGCCCCGCACACACGCCGCAGCGGGCGGCACGGCGCAGGCGAAGTGCGACACCCCCGTCCTGCGAGGGGGAAGACACGCGGGGGAGAAGCCGGCCGCACAGCGCACACCCAACAAGGCACGCGGCGAGAGGGACGGGGCGGGTCCAAAGCCCGCCGCACAGCCTGCCGCTGCTCTGCCGCAGCGGACAACAAAAAGAAAGAGCCGTCGTCGCCGGAAACTAAAATTGCCTCTAGCGGGAAGGAGGAGGAGGAGGAAATGAGGGGCGTGTCGGCGGCACGGCCGGCGGCAGTGGGAAAACAAGACGCGGAGACACGCAGCGACAACAGCGGCGGACACGGCGCACAAACTCAGCGTGAGCCGCAGTGGATTGCCCCAACAAAAAAAATTAAACGAAAAGAAAAGAAATGGAAACCCCGCAAACTCCCTTACCCAAAATAAAATGAAAATAAAACGAACTCACTTCGGCAGGTGTTGTTCCTTCACCTCAAATGCCCTGCAGCACAAGAGGACTGCGAGAGAGATGCATGTATA